AAAATAAAATTTTGATTTTTGATATTTGGTCAGATTGTCGACAGTAGGTCGATCCGAGAACTTTTCAGCAACCCATATAAAGTAAAAAGTAAAACTGTAGAAATCATAAAGGCAGCTTGAAATCCCTATAGTCACAAATTAAATTTAGTAGCCATTACTTTACAATTAAGCCTTAATGATTAAGATGCCCGCCTCTACGATAGAGGGTGGCGTGTGCGTTAAAAAAATAAATTATTATTGACACCGGTGCCTCATAAAAAAAATTTTATTTGGCATTTTTTCACAACAAAAACGCTTATTTTCTTTTTCAACATGATCTCCTTCCTTGTCAATGCCCTTGATTCAGCAGTGAATGACCAGTTATTGAACATTTCAGATCGAATTTCAATAATCTAATAACCTGTCAAGCTTATTGATTTTTACTATGATTTATTTTAAATATAAAGATTCCAGAATGATACAACTAAAAAACGATTAGTTTAAGAGTTTACTTTAAATTTAATAATGTATCTCCACGTTAGTATTTAAAAAAAAACAAAAAAAAACACAAGTACCGTGTTGGTATACTTTTGAAATAAAAATGTCTTTGGTAAAACAGAAGATAAAATGAGCATTCAGTTAACTTTCAATTCAAATAAAAGTCCTTTTTATGACTGAATAGTTTATCGAACAGGTTAGCATATGATGTGTGTGTGTGAGTGAGAGAGAGAGTTCTCTTTTTTTTGTAAGCAAGGGAATGCAATGAAGTTGTCAGTAATCGTAAGCAATAATAAAAAAAATCACAACATACAGTCACCGGAGACAAAAGTAATGTGCTGGCCGAACAGTAGGAGAGCGTTTTAGAGAATCTATATAACATAACTTCAAGAAATTTGTTAAAATATATATAAAATTTACTTTTGTTCACATTACAACACACAAAATTTTTTGGAATGTTAAATTAAATATATGTTTCAGCTTATATGTGCAAATTACTTGCGGGTTAAGCACTAAATAAGGAAATAACATACAATTACGAGTTTCTGAACATTTTAATATTTCTAGTTTTTTTTAAAAGAAATAAAAAAATTGGATAAATTTAAATGTCATTTAAAATACATTTTAAAAATTCAGTAGTTTCTGTTAAAATGCTGAAATGAACCGAAATTTTTTTAAGAAAAAGTTAAGAATTTATGGTTTTAAAAGATAAATGTACACTTTTAAAAACTAAAGAAAATATAGTCCGTATTTTATTTATTTTTTTGCATATTTTAAGCTTTTAAAAAATATTGCACCCAAAACACTGGTATTATGACGAGGGGATCGACTAACAAAGTTTGAAATAGATAACTTACTAGATGAGTTGCAATGAATAGTCATCAAAATACCCTCGTAAAACGTGCATGCCAGAAAATAAATGTTTTTATGTTTTTAGTTTTTCTTTATACGACAATTCGGACAATATCATATTTTGTCTGTACATAAGACGCATACAGAAGAAACATGATATATGCTGCAGGTAGGTAAGGTAACTTATGACTAATCGAAAAATTTAAAAAAATGTCACAGAAAAAGTTACGATTTGGGTGGAGAAAAACTCACAAGAAAATGTAGTTTTACTTTTTTTAGCTAAGATCAATAATTTAAAACAAATAAAAAAAACATTAACGATGTCACAATTAAAAAACGATACTAAAACTAAAAAGTAAATGTTGAAGTCATTATTTTTAAATGTACTAGAGATTTAATATTCCTTTTTATTATTTTTTATTTTTTTCAAATTTAAAAAACAACACGTTCAATTGTGTAACTACCATCACTTCCCCAACAATAATAGGAAGGTTTAACAAGGCGAAAACACAAAATGGACAGATCTGGGATTTTGATTTCAATTGAAATGGTAGTCTCCCGAATACGTTTATGAGCCATTCGTCTTAAAGAGAATAGGTATCAATTATTCACAGATCAGCTGGTGGTTTTCCAAGTATCCCAAAGAAACAAAATTGTTTGATATAAACAACTATTCTTCATTTTATTATTCAATGTCATTCGAAAGACAAGCAACAAACGTCCAAAAAAAAAAAAAAATATATCACTAACCCGGTTTATGATGTTCAGTTACATTAAAAGGCTTAACGAACTTTATTTTGATTGTTAATTAAATATTTCCAGTGATAAGTAATGTTTTTCTCTGTTTAAAAGAAAAAAAAATTTATAAAACAAATTATTCAGTTCATAAATGCCCTTTCTTTCCAAACTTTTTAATCGTTTTTCGTTTCTTTATAATGTTGTGTTGACATATCCGGGATTTTTTTTTTTTTTTTTTAATCGCCTTAAACTCCAAAATCGGATTTAAGGCGAAATAACATTTTTTTTTGCTTCGTTTTTTTTTTACTTTTTTCAGAGTTGAAGAAAAATTCTTTTCCATATGAAGAAAACCTATCTATAAAATAGAGATACAAAAATAATTTGCTTTATTGCTTATTGTAGTTATAATTTCATGAACAAACAGTAACATCCGGATATATATATATATATATATAAAAAAAGGAAAAAAAAAAAACAGGTACACAATGGCCTGGACTTTCTCTCAAAGTACAAGTGCTTGATCAATGGTACAACTCTTACATGATAGAGAGAAAGAGAGAAGAAAAAAATCTTTACATTTCATAAATTTTATTCTTAGGGAATTGCAATAAATTTTAAAAAGCTACAGTGACTTTTTTTTTTTTTTTTTTTACTAAATTACACATCGCAAAATATGCTTGAAAAATATTTTGAAAATGTCAAGGGATTTTTAGAGCGAACAAAAAAAAAAAAACAAAAAAAACGTTTACCATCTTTATCACAACAAAATTAAGCTTTTTAAAACAGTTGCCTCGCCTTTTTAGGATTGGGGGGTGAGGATGTGACAACTTCTAGTGAGGGGAGAAAAAAAAGTAGATTATTGAAGAAGACAAATAATAAGTCTTTTCTCTCCATCTCTGGGTAATTTTTCCATCCTTTCTAAAACTTACGATTTTTGTTCAGACGTTCGGCATATATTGTCCAATGTTTCAGACAATTTCTTTTCCGATGTAAGTGTTGTGATAAAATAAAACGACTAACTAAGAAGGGAATGATCATAAAAATCAATGGTTCCTCTAATAAATGTCGATAAAATGAAAACTAGAAAAAAAAACACATGCTAGAGAATGCTCACTGGCATTTCACTTCTTGCCTGTTGAGTGGTGACACAAGACTTGAACACGGAATTCATTGTTCAGATGAGTACAATTCATTTAGAATAGATGCATTCTACTAAAAAAAAAAAAACAAGAATCGGTGGGTGGGTGTTTGGATAAATCTGTATTTTTAGTCAGTACTAATAAAGAATTTTGAAAAATTAGAGCCTGTTGATAATAAATTCTGATATTTAAATAAAATGAACTATTAAAAAAAAACAAAAATCAACGGAATAACCTTGAAAATAAATAAGACAGCTAGGTACAAATTAATTAATGAAATAATCGATGCAACACATCTATGTAATTAATTAAATTATTAAAAAGAAGTAACTGTCTAAAAGTTAAAACTGAAATCTTTAGATTAAAAAAGCAGAATAAAATAAATAAATGAATAATTTCAGTGTTAGTATTTTTACACAAAAGTTAAAACTAATGATAGAGATAAAATATATTTTTAGTAGTGTAGTCCTATGTCTTGCTGAAATAAACTAAAAAAAAATCTGCTACCCACCAACTAAACAAAGGTAATCGTTCTTTTAATTATTATCTTTCGGCATTCCAATTATTGTTTAAATTCTTCCAGAGCAGTCAAAAACTTTAGGTAGGGACTTGAATTATTTCAAACGGGTAGCAGGGTGGGTGAGGTGTTTGAAACTGAACATTAAATCATGAATCGTCGTATTTATTTACAGCTCTGATCTCAAGAAAGGTAAACTAGAAGATCGAATGTTGTTGGGAGGGGTTATTTAATTGTAGCATTTGAGATTCACTATGATCAACTAACAACTTCCATTAAATTCACAATAGGGTTACTAACATTATCGATACTGCTAGTCTACAAAGACTAGCATTTAAAAATCTGACAAGAAGTGACTAATGCAAATTGTAATAAACCTAGGTATTTTACAAGAAAAGAAAATACTAAATTTAAATCAAGAGGTTTTTTTATGTGTCGACATCAAACCATGTACACGCGCACGTGTGTATCCTTGTATCAACTAACTTACTAAAAGGTAGTATTATTACAATCGTCAATCTGTTCTCACATGATACTACTATTTACATTTAGGATTTATTATTCTTTTAAGCATTTGAAGGTGTTATTAGTGAAAAGAGGCTAACTTTTTAATCGTTTTTTTTTATTTTATTAAACAATGCTAATAAATAAAACATTAAACAAGGAAAAAGAATTTTTTTACGTGAACAAGTGTTTGTTTCCTTTTCTTTACTAGTGGACGAATGACAAATACAATTATATTGCACATTTTAAGAATAAATAAGTTTAAAAAAACTGGAAAATATATTAAAACAGGATATTTTTTAAATCATTTTTTTTTTTACCTTAATTTTCTTTCCTGTTGCGTACAACACTCGATTGTTGTAAACACTAAAAAAAAACAGTATTATACGGGTTGGAGGTCAATTAATTAACATTTGTAATAAAGTAAACAGTTATTTTAAATAACTCTAATCTAAATGAAATCAAGTTAATAAACACTAAACCGTGACGTAATGTAAAGATAACAATAAAATCAAAATCTTATTCTTAACTCTTAAAGACTTAAAAAAAAAGAAGAGATTTTGCTGCGGTAGTATCAGCAAGTGATTTGCAAATAAATGATGTCTAACCAGTAAACTAAATATTACTTGTTATTTAGGGGTTTAAAAAGTTATTAGCACAGAAAATGTTAACAGAAAAGAAAACTTTACTAGTACACTTTAAGAGTCAAATTAAGTACAATGCGCGTAAAAAGAAACCCTTCAAAGAAATCCACTATGGACATAAAAACCTACCGTCAGTATTGGTGATCCTGTTTTGGTTCATTTCATTTTTTTTTAAATTCAAATCAGAAAAAAAAAGGAAAAAATACCACAAGATCACCCTTTATGAATAATACAGTCTCGACATCTTTAGGTACAATCCAAATATTTTTACATTGGCAAGGAAATAGTGTCCAGGTGTTCGTATCGAATGTCTTTCCCTCTCTCTCTGGTGTAATTAATAATACTAAGACAGACTTGATCGTAGTCTTCCAAGGTCGTAAGAAGAAGAAAACAAAAAAAAAAAGCAACAAGTTCCTGTCCTCGGTAAAAAGGAGGGCTGAGTTGTTTGTAGCTAATGTTGAGAATTCACTGAAAGAGCAGTTATTACTTTGCTTCCTGAGAAGATAGCTATGAAAGAAGCGACGAGTTGTAAACCCCCACTCCTTATTTTCCTCTGCCTTTCTCTCTCATTCTTTCTCTTCCCCACTCGTTACTGTTTCCTTTTCAGCGACAATTATTGGTTCACTGTCTTTAGTTGCTACAAATACATCAACCGGTTCACTGTCCTTTGTAATTCAGCTACCTTTACACTGAGGTAGGTAATCACACGCGCGCTACATTTAATGGGACTAGTTATCTACCCTTTATCATTAAATACCTACAAAAATATATATATATATATATATATATATATATATATATATATATATATATGATTAACACTGTTTTCTTTTCCTAGTAGAGATTTACAAAAATCGAAATGTAATGAATATATTGATTTAATATCCATTTCAATCAGATGTCTCACCGTCCTGTAATATCTAGCAAAGTAGACATTCTGAACTGCAGTGAGTTCAATCCTCACTGGGGTTTATGGTTGCAATCTTGTGCCAGACCTAAGCTAAGCTTATCCATTAAAAAAGTGGCAAAAGCTTAGTGAATATATATATATATATATATATATATATATATATATATATATATATATATATATATATTATATATTTCATTAAATACGTCCGACAAGGAGGATTTAATTAATTTTTATTAAATTTTCCAGCATCCTTACATTTTTCTGTTTTGAAGGAGTAAAAAGGAGTACAAAAATTTTTCATAGTTTTTATTGTTCCAAGTGCTTTCAGCTACTTTTATAGCCATTTTCAAGGGTGTTTTGTCTCTGGTCTTGTTATTTTTTCTTCATGTTTTTACCGTTGCATTGTAATTCATTTTTGTGTTGTGTTGAATAGAAGTATTCATTCCGAGCTTTCACATGTTGTATACGGCTGGAATTCATGTGAGAATCTTTCTATTTTTAAAAACCTTTAACACTCCATTTCCACTGTTAAATAATGTAAGGTTGATAGTAGGAGAGAAATCTTTTGATATATAGGTCCTCTCTAATAATGAGATGTTTCTGATAATGTGATATATATACAATTCTTGTGATTTCAATCAGGATTTTTCTTAAGGGTTCTTATAAATTATGGGTTGATAGAGGTTTTTATAGCAATTTGGTGACACGTGAGGCATCTACTTAAGGACGTTGTAGTATCTCTGATATAGGTAATTGATTTATGAAAAGAAACATGGTCAAAACATAGGGAAAAAATAACAACACCAGAAAAAAACACTCTTGAAAATGACTGCAGAAGTTGACAAAAGTGCTTGAGAAAATAAAAATTATGGAAAATTTTTGTAATCACTTATTCCTACAAAATGGATAAACGTAAGGATACTGGGAAAACTCAATAAAAATTAATTAAATCCCCTTTGTTGACCATATTTAATGAAAGATGTTTGAAAGAAAGGTTGCTGCGCAATTAAATATTAACATTTTTATATATATGTGTGTGTGTGTGTGTGTATGTGTCTAAATATATAGAAAAATAGGAAAGAACACGTTAGGTTAATAATCCGAAGTTCTTTAGTATTTTTGTTTTTATTTTTAAAAAACAGTGCTCAATACAAATGTAGAGCCTGAATTATAATTATAATTATTTTTTAAAAATATGATTTCTTTGCTACATAAGTGTTCTCATGTTTCAAAAACAAGAGCCAAAAACTTCAATATAACTATTAAAATTAAATTGAATTAAAGTATCAAGCTCTGTTTCATTCTCAAGTGAAATTTTTTTTTTTTCCAAAAATTTTGCTTGAGGATGAAACAGAGCTTGATACTTTAATTCAATTTAATTTCAATAATTATATCGAATTTTTTTGCTCTTGTTTTTGAAACATGAAAACTCTTATGTAGCGAAGGAATCATATTTTTAAAAAATAATTATAATATATATATATATGGGAAAATTATAATTTCTTTTGCTCTATCACCAGTAATAACTGCAACAAAAAATATATGGAAGAAACATCAAGAAATTTAAATAAAAGTTTATATGAACACAAAAGGGAATTTGTACAAAACAACACACTCAATGCCTTAGCTATTCACCATAATGGGTTAGATCTAATGGGTTAGATCATAATTTTAATTTTAAAAAAACTACTTTAAATAAAAGAGAAAGCAATTTAGTAATACAAGATTTATAGAAAGTGCTTTAATTGCAAGATCATCCGCAGTAAATTTATGTTCAGGTTTTTACAACATTTCACCTTTCTTGGCAGATTTTTTATTATCACAATGTAGGATATTTAATAACAAAAGTGATAAAACTTTAACAAAAAGAAACAAAATGAAATCAGCTAGATGATATGCACAAACACATATTTAAAAAAAAACAAATTTAAATTTAAAATTTCAGCAACCCCTCTCTTTCATGTGGATATGCAATGATATCAATGTAAAAGATTTTCCACTTTGTCATAGATTTTCCTAATATATATATATATATATATACAGATATAAATAAAATATATAGAGAATATAAATAAAGGACAAAAGAAAAACATGTTGATAAAGAAATTTTGGGTTTTGTCTTTTATATATATGTGTGTGTGTGTGTATGTATGAATGTGTGCATATATATATGTGTGTGTGTGTGTCTGTGTGCATATATATATATATATATATATATATATATATATATATATATCACTTTTTAAATGTTATTTTTAAAGTGATAAAAATCTGTTGGATTGATGAATGAAATCTATTACTTTAGTATATATATATATATATATATATATATATATATAAAGTATTTATTTAAAAATATGATTCCATCGCTACATAAGAGTTCTCATGTTTCAAAAACAAGAGCCGAAAACTTCAATTTTGGATTATTTACCTAACGAGTTCTTTTCTATTTTATATATATTTTACACACACACACACACACACATATATATATATATATATATATATATATATATATATAATCATTGTCAATGACTTCAATGTTCACTTTTATATTATCTCTAATATTAAGCACTTTATTCCATAAATATAGCATACCTTAAAACAATATTTTTCATATATATATATATATATATATATATATATATATATATATATAATACTACTAATAGTAATAATAGCTGGCCACTTGTATTTGAGGATACCCGTCTATTAGGGAAGCTAGACAATCCCTATTGCTGATGCTCGCTCAGGCACATTTGTGCTTGTTCAACATCAGAGCCCAGCTGTGGATTATAATGCAACTATGATGATCAGGCTTTAGTTACAGTTTCTGTGAGAGAGTGTGTTATCTAGCGTGCTCAACAATCTGAACAAGGCCAGCACACTGAAACCCTTGGTCACAAAGACATGTGACTTAGTGCTAGCACAGCAATTAATGGCTCCCAAGTGGTCCATCTACCCAATTTCACTGACAAGGCTTGGGTCAACCCATGGTATGGTCTTCAGGCACTTTCAAAAGTTGCCACACCCTGAGATCGCACCCTGCCTCCAGACCGATAACATCAGGAATTCTCCTTCCTGACAAATCAAGCGTGGTGAGATTCTAACATGGGTCTCATGGTCAGAAAGCGAACATTCTAATCACTCAGCCATGTGTAGCATATACATATATATATAGGAAGAAAAATATGGAAAAACAAAAATCCGAATATGCAAGTATGCTGTTTTAATGTTGTTTCAATGTCGATGTCAGATGTTTCTGTCTAGTAGAGTTATTGTTTTTATTTTCTTCCGAAATTAAAGCAACTATACAAATCCTGAATAAACATAACAGACATTCATTGTCTGTTATATTTAACAAGATATATTTGAATATATATATATATATATATATATACACACACACATACCAGTGAAGACTCTAGGTCATCAATATTTGTTGGCTCATTACAATCATTAACAACATATACTATTGGTATAACTTAGATGCTAAAATGATTCCTTTACTCTAACCAAATTATAAAATTTTTAAAAAATCTCTGTGCATGAAATTAAAAAAACACCATTTTGTATTTAGGGTTATAGTTATTGGAATGCACTAGCCTGATATATTTCTTTTTTTTAAAAATAGCATCTGTATCTATCTTGAGTGCGTGTTTGTAAATATTTCTATGCATTAGTGTGTTTATGTATTTCTCTGTGAATTTTTTGTTTAATTTATTGTATGCTCGTGATCAGTACTGCTGACTGATATCATGTTTCCTCAACACAACCCTAGTCACACTCCTCACCCCCAAACCCCCAGTCAGCAAGTTATGATTGCCATTTTCTTTGATTTTCGCCAACGTTAAGTCAGGGTAAATGTAATTTTCCCTTTTCCGATTGATACATTCAGCTAAAAAATTTATACTGTACAGAATAATTTAAAATGGACATTTGAAAGGAATAATTTGAAATAAAAATGTGTTCTTTGAGAAACAGGGTATACAAGAGTATACAAGAAACAGAGTATACAAGTGTATACAAGTATACAAGATATGTTTAAAAGATTATTTATAAAATTAAAGCAAGAAATATATAGCCAAGTTAATTTTATTTCATTCTTTTGTTACTTACTTTCTTTCTTGTTTTATTTTTTTCTTTCTCCTTTCTTTCTTCTTTGAACAATATCAACAAAATGTATTTCAGTCAATATTTTGAGGCACAGAGTTAAAACAATTAATTTTGGATCCAGCTGAAGTCAA